AGAGAGGTGACATCTCAAGTTCTTGTCATTGGTAATCTTTAATTTGACGAATTGGAGGCTGAGAGGCGACTAATACTAGTGTTTGCTTTTTGGTGTTATGAAAATAACAAGTAATTAGGTGAGAGATGAAAGTGACTTAAATTGGAAAGTCATAATTGAGTTGGATGGGGACTTCCTAGTTGCAAAACAAAGATGAAATGATCTATGTATAATTAAATGACACTCTTGGTGGTTGAGGGTCGTGTAGTAGTGAATGAGAGAGTTTAGTTGAGAGGATACAATACACACTAGCTTATATTACGATATTGATCGGTATTTCGGTATATACCGATCCCAATCCCGTAATCCATAATACCAAATTACAATTGAAATTCAATCTCAATCCCAATCCCAAGAAATAATACGTGTATTCGGTAATACCAAATATAGACAAATTCGGTACGGTATTCGGTATATCCCAAATACCGGTACCAAACTTCCAGCCCTACATAAGACCCATCGGAAGTGAGGCAACTTTAAAAGCGGATTGGATATACTCTCAGACGGGTTCAGTAGCGGTTAATAATTTATCGGTGTGGTTAGCGGTTATTTATAAGAGATGTTGGAGGCAGATTGGTGGTAGTGCTAAATATGACGGGTATTCAATAATCATACTTAGAGGTTGACAATGGACGAATTGGATGGATTTGGTATTAAATTAACTTAGCTGCTTAATAGCGAGTTGGTATAATTGTGACACGTTATCCAGTCACATTCTTCTGTGGGTTGGGTTATGTGGGTGGCGGAGGGATACGGTTGGGTTGGGTTAGCCCGCAAAAGCGATTCTCCAACTAGCATTAAGAAAGTTAACTAACAATTATAATAAGTTCTTAGCAAATTTGTAAGACTATATCAATTTAAAAACTTCCCACTTTGTCTCATGTGAATCCATGTAGTATTTGCATTAAAATTTTATTACTCTATCAACCAATTGTGTAGAGAATCTGACGCATTTTGTGGCTATGATACAATTAATAGTTATTATTTGCATTCCAATAATTGATATTACACAACACAACACAACACAATAATCAATAATAGTAGTCCAAAACTATTCTTCATTCTACATTTTTAGAAGTAGATAATCAGTGGGGTTGTTTGAATGAGTGTTTTCAATAAGGAATTTCGCCACAATCTCTCATTGACCCGAATTTTGACCAAATAACTCGTTTGGATAAACGAGAAATTTTTAGAAATCACTCATGTGCTACATTTTTCATCCAATTTTATCCCTTTTTTCTAAAAATTCAAACCTACCCTCAACCCCCCTTCGTCCCTCTACGGCTCTACCCTTCCTCTCGTCCCTCAACCCCAAGTCCCCAACTGCCTTATCTTTTTCTCCCTCTCCTCCGGCAGCGATTGACGGCGACGACTGCAAACTTAGAAGCTCATTCTTCCTTCACCATTCCATGGCTCTGCGGTCTATTCAATGGGAGATTCAGGGATAGTGTGCTCTGCATCGGAGGGAAAAGAGGTGAAAGGATGAGGATTTGATTCAGGCACACCTAGGCTTCAGATCATCGTGGATCGAAGAAGTCAGTGAGGGGGATTGGAATCTGGTTCGACCACGGGAGAGAACGACGATAGGCTTGTCAAGGTTTCATCCTCACCCCTATGTGCGACGGCGGCAACAAACTCAAACCTCGAGTTCATCCCAGATCTGGGCTCTTCATCCTCTAAAAGTTGATGGCGATGATGACGAGTAGCTATAGATTTTCGGGTTACCGAAGCGCGTTGACCCAACGTAGCTCAGGCGATTGCTAGTGCCCGCCGAACCCAAACTCTGTCGGATTTCCATCATCTAGAATGGAAATAGAGCTTGCTCACCAGAGAAAAATTAGTAATAGCAGCAAGGGAGAGTGTCGCCATTCGAAGCTCCATCGACAATATATTTATTAAAATGAATCTGAATTTGACTTACGATGGTCGAGATCTTGCTAGAGGAGATCCAGCAGAGAAGATGAGAGGAAGAGGAATGAATGAAGAAGAGATGGGGGTAAAGGTGTAATTGTGCTAAATTGTGCTAAACCCCTTATCTGTTTCCAAACACATAATTGGCTAAATCTTTTATCTTAAATTTACAGGGGTTTTAATCAGACATTTGGGTCTCAAATCCCTCATTTTAAAATACTTAATCCAAATGACCCCAGTATGTATTGTTGTTAGAAAATATGATAAATATTTGATAGTACAAGAAACAACACTTTTTCATGTGAAAATATGGTGCAGGTCATTCGGTTACCCGCAATATACCCACCACCCACCCACATAAGTGTGGCTAGGAGATTTATCATACCGCAATCTACCCACATCAATCACCCACTGCCTACTGTTCGGGTTATTTGTGGGAAAGTTGATGTAAACCCGGTGGATTAACCACCCACGTGCTCACCCCTACATACTCATCTTGCATTAAGAGCGGGTGAGGTCGAGTACTACTCGCATGAGTATGGATTGGACGGGTCACCCATTTTTATATGTTTTTTCAAAATAACGTTTATATATAATTCTTTTAAAATAAGCTAGACATAGAGAAAACCATTTATAAATGAATGAGAAATATAGAAGAAGGAATGCTTGAAAGATTAATCATTGAAAACCATTTATAAATTGCCATCACTAATTGGCAACAAGGAAGCTGTCGAAGAAAGATTAATCATTGAACCAAGAGGTGGTGACTATTTTCTTTTTAGAATTAAGAGGACAAGGGATGAGCTCGATAAACATAGGTGGTGGATGTAAACTAGCAGAAGGATGCAACTAGAGATATGTTTGTTTACCTAAGGGCATCGAGTCATGCAACTTTTTTAGGGTTCAACGGAAGGATGGGAGATTTCATCCAATCTATTATGCTAGTAGAGCACTAAACGATGCTCTAAGGAACTACAAGACGACGGAAAAGGAACTTGGATATAGTGTTTTCTTTTGAAAAATTTCGCTCGTACCTTGTATTAAGTCACACAATCGTGTATACGGACCATCGTGCACTGCGCTATCTATTTTTTTATATAGATAAGGGTGATATAGGTTATTTTTTGTAATTAGGTACTACAGAAGGGATTCGAACCTGGGACCTCCAAGTTCAAGGCTAGTGGTATTACAACTAGACCAATCTCTTGTTCGTACTGCGTTATCTATTAACAAAGGCAGAAGCTAAGGAAGAAGCTAAGCTAGGCCTCATTAATTGGGTCCTCCTACTTTAGGAGTTTGACATTGAGATTGAAGATAAACGAGGAGCACAAAACATGGCAACCGACCATCTATCGATATTGAACGGAGCTACCTTTGAAAATCTGGATGATGTCAAAATAGAGTACACATTCCCAGATGAGCAATACTTTCTGGTCGGAATCGAGGATTCACATGGACCATGGTTCAAACTACTTGGCCATGGGAACATCGTTGTCAATCTCTCATACTAGGAGAGGAAACACTTCAGCAAGGAATTCAAATTCTACTTATAAGATGATTCGTACCTTTTCCGAATTGACCCCAATAACATGATCTGGATATGTGTTTCACCGACTGAGGGCAGGGAAATTACTCGCCACTTCCATGAGGGGCCTCCCAAGAGGGCATCATAATAGCCCTTGGACAATGCACAAGTTACTTTAATGTGGCTTTTACTAGCCTACAATCTATTTCAACTGCGAGAGAATGACTAAGTCTTGTGATGCCTGTCAATGACTTGGAAACTCCACCTTACATTGAATTGTTAGACCTAGATTGCATTTGGTCTAGGGAGACTAGTATAGTAACTATAAAAGTCTGAGCACCCAATTATGCAAGGTCCAAATGCTCAAAACACTAGTTGAAAGATCTTGTGACCCTGACATATATGAGGGAATCGTCACCCAATCAATAACAAATTTTGGTTTTTTGTTTTTGTAATGAGCATCAACGTCTGCAAGTCATCGTATAATTTCTCCCAATTGCCATAAAGCTTTTTCATCGCCCTTTGCTTAGCATAACATGCCTTTTTGCAACGAATATTATCTTAATAGCTATCTTTGCACTCAGCTTGTAGAGCTTTGACACGTATATATGGTTGGGCTTTACCAAATGCTTCACGGTGTCAGAAATAATATTAATGTCAAGTTGGCAATGATCGTTCGGTTGAGTTGCCAGTTGATAAACTTTTTCCCATTGGCTTTGCCTATTACAAATTCTTCTAGTTGTTGTCTATATGAATGCTGAAATATTCTGAATGTTTGAACGCAAATTGAGGCGGCAAAATCCCAAGTGAGGCGCACGCACCAATTGTTCTTGTTGTCGCTCAAATTTTTTTTGTTTTTCTTTGTGTTAGGATTACCCAATTAGGCCATGCGTCCCAATTAGTCTTAATAAAGTTTGACAACTCCAATTGGCGCGTGTCCGTCCAATTCGTTTATTTGTACAATAATTAAGAAATATTTTTTGAAACTACAGTATTTTGGCTAATAATTTTTTTTAAAATACAACATTTTAGGGAAAACCCCCTAATCTTTCATGTTATGCACACATTTTATGCAGTAATTAAGATCGACATTAATATCGTAATTTCATAATTTGACTTCATTAATTTTTCTTAAGAAAATACCCAATAAAAAGAGCAGCAAATTTTTCTGCATCTTTTATGTATCTCAAGGATTTGTCATTGCACAAGTCGTCAAGATTCTCAATAAATATTTTTCCAATCAATTTCTCCATAGACAACTAACTATAAGATCTCCAATAATGCACTAACATTCCAGGATGTACGATAATTATCCCACAAACAAACACTCTTTCTCAGTCCCCACACCAATCTTTTAAATTTTAACAAGCAAAAAACCCAATGGGAAAGGAGATTGAGAAGGAAAGCAACCCATTTTCTTTGATTTGCTTAGAATTTTGTTTTTTTTTTTTTTTTTTTTTTTTGGATTTGGGTTTAAGCGCACTTTGAAGCTTTTCTTCACGTTTCTGTTCTCAATCTTTTGCGAAAGTGCAAACCGTTATAGAACAGTAAACCGTCCCCCATTGCGGCCTAAAATCTTGCCCTCTCTCTCTCTCTCCCTCCCTATTTCTCTGCGAATCTCCCCAAGTCTTATCTTCCCCCCTCCTTCTCGTCCTCCAATTTTCCATTTCTGAGTCTCAGTTTCTTTCGCCAGTCAACCTCCATTCTTCTCTCCCTCAATCGCTAAATCATGGGGGTCGTGCAGTTAAGATACTGATCACCACAATAATGTCCGCGCCACATTTTTCTCTCTTGTTTCGTGCTTATTCCCGGAGCCTGTAAGAGAGAGGGCGAGAGAGAGAGAGAGAGAGAGAGACTTGATAACTACCAAAAACAGGGGAGGGATCGTTCTCAGTGAGGCATTCTAACAAACACCTTCAATGGCCGACGATCTTCTCTGTCACGAGGACATCTTCCTCGCTGCCTCCACCCCATCTCAAGGCGGAGCAGCGGCGGCAGAACCACCGTCCGGCGGCGACGGAGATGTGTTAACGGAAGTGAGGTCAAAGTACGAAATCGGGGGCGACGGGGATGAGGAGTTCGTAAGATTCTTGGTGGAGAAAGAGACTGCTCATGGGTACGGAGTCGGTCAAAGTGTGGATTTCGACGTATGGGTCAGCGGCGTTCGTACCGAAGCCATCGATTGGTTTTTCAATGTGGGTTGTTCTTTTCTTCCCCACCCATATTATTCAATTGAATCAAGACTCTGTCTTTCTCGTTCTCGATCTCAATCCCCTGTTTTTTGTTTTTTACCGGTATTGCAGACGAGAGCTTCACTTGGCCTCCGCTGGAAAACGGCGCATCTCTCTGTCACTCACTTCGATCGCTTCTTGTCAAAATTCGTCATCGAGGTCAGCCATCAACGCGCAGTTTCTCTAGTTGGATTTCTTTTGGGTTTCTTTTCTTTTTTCTTACTCTGTAATTTTTTCCCTCTGTTTTTGTTCCCTGTGCACAGCCGCATCGGATATGGGTGGCGCGGCTTCTGCAGTTAGCGTGCTTGTCATTAGCCGCGAAGATGGAAGAGACAGATTCGCCATCTCTTTCTCTGCCTTCGTATCAAGTCCAGGGTTGGAGTTTCGGATACGAAGCAATCGCGAGAATGGAGTTCCAAGTGCTGACGAAATTAGGATTCAGATTGAACACTCCATCGCCTTTCGATTACATCCCCTGTTTCCTAATCAAGGCAGTCGAAGTTTGCCCACCGATGGAAACCGTGTCGAGGATTACGAAATTAATCTTGGCACTAACAAGGGGTAATTTTCAGTATAAAAAAAAATCCCCACAAATGTCAATGCTCAATTCTTTCTTTCCCTCGTTTCCCAGGCAAATAGTCAAAGTATTGTGGTTTACGTTACTTGCAGTTGTAAACTTGAGAAACCATCGGCCGTCTTCAATAGCAATTGCTGCAATCATGGCGGCATTGGATCAGAACATGGAAGCAGATCCACTAATGGGTCGACTGAATACATTCGCTTATGCGCATTTGCTCGACATTGTGAGTTGTTTAAAGATCGATCAATCGGGTTCCTCTTCATTCCATATTTTTGCTCACATTCTCTGATATAGATTGCTATCTTTTTGTGCAGGGGAATGTGGTAGAGTGTTATGATCTGATGAAGAATCTGGATAGGGAAGATAGAGCAGAAATCCCTGTGGTTTCTCCTGATGTTTCTCCGGCGAGATTTGATGGTTCATCATCATCGGCGGCGGATTACTTGGGTAATGTCAAGAGAAGGAGGCTGGATTTTGATAGGCCACCTGATCGTCCCCCGGATCTACTATAAACACCTGACAAATTCTTTTGATTTGTCTAAAAATTTGATTCTTTTTTTTTTTTGTTTTTTTCTTCATCTCTGGGGAAGATTTTGATTCATAGCTTCTGTAAATGGGTTTTTTTTTCCTTCATTACTTGGATTCAAGTTCACGAGGACATGATCCATATTGTTGGTGAGATTGGAAATTGCCTCGTTATAATCAGTAGGAGGCAGTACTTAGATTGAGAACTCGCAGCAGAGTATGAAGTATGCAGGGCAGAGGAGAAGGGAGAAGGCCAGAAGCTCTGTTCTTGTGAACTGTAAAGTGAGGAAGCCAAGTTTGCAGCAACATTCTTCTTACTCACTGGTTACTACATTGAGTAGTAGGGTTTTAGTTTGGAATTAGGTTGTTCTTTTTGGCTTGGGAAATAACTTTGGATGGCCATTTTCTTCTGTTTAAATGGGTAGCTTTCTTTTTGTTTGAAAGCCCTTTACTTTAGCTGGGGGATGCTTGGGGAAAGGGTTTCTTTTGTTGTTGGTGTTTGGGAAAGGCTGATTGCATTTTGGTAGTGAGAGTTGGGAAAGAAAACACTAGAAAAGATGACTGGGGAAAGAAAGAAAGAAATGAAAAGAAAAGAGCTTTCCCCTGTTTTTGTGAGTGATTTTATTAATCTTTGCTCTTCTGCAGCTTGCCTGCAAACCTGCATGTTGACAATCAGAAAAGGGATAGAAAAAAAAAAGGTAGAGTGAAATGGCATGGCTTTGTTTGAATAATATTATACATCTGTAGTGTCCCTTCCTTTGCTCACTTTGTTTAACTCTACTTGATAAAGCTTTTTCCTTGGCTGCATTTGACCCTTTTTCTCCCGTAGAAACAAAGTAAGATCTGTGGGTTTTGTTATGGTAGATGGTGGGCATGGTGTGATATGGTTCAAAATAGTATCAAATTGGTATAGAATCGAATCGTACGTAATGTTGAAACTAGTTCGGTCTTGTATCGCTCGTTTGATATATTTATATTCAGATAGTTAGGAGTTGGGTACAAATACAATATGATCCAACTCAATTTGGATCCGGTCTATTTTGGTGCGTGAAAGCCTATACCCTTGTTCTGATTTTCTGCTGATCATCTATCGATATCCTTTGACGTAATAGAGATGATTTGGGAATAAGTGGTTAAAGAAAGAACTACATGTAGCCAAATAACAGTAAAGGAAATCCAGTGTGATTGCATATGCAAGCAAGATTGGAAGAAAATGGTACCACAGAGAGAGACAGAGAGAGCTCTGCAGCTGCACACTCACAAGTCACAACCAACACTCACAAGGAACCCAAAACCAAAATTGATTGTTGTTGTGGTGACTCTGGCAAAGAGAGAAACCCCAAAAGATACGAGCCAGATGGGATTGACGTCTCCATAGATATGATGATGGAGGGAGGGTGAAAAATAAGGCAGGGGGGAAAAGCCAAAAAGATGAAAACTTTTCTCGTTTTCTTTTCATTTTCACCAAAGTCCAATAAGAGCTCAATACATAGCTGTACAGGTCAAAAACTGGCTAAAGAAGTACTTGGTACTGTCCCCTGCTCTCTCTGTCAATTTTTGGGTACCTATTTCTCTGCAAAAGAAAGTAAAACCTTCTTCTGGGGCTATACCAGTTGCACAGTCCTGCCCTTCCCTTGACTTGAAAACAACAACAACAGCAACATCAAAGCTTTGCTGTCTTTCACTTCCCTCCCCACCTTCCTTCCTTCCATAGAAACTTCTGCTAATAGGGTTCTCTCTTCCCTGAGTAGTGACTAGTGAGTAGTTCCTTCCTCCCCCACCACTCAAAACAAGTGCTGTCATTTTCCATGTTGAAGAATCAGGACTTCACTGTCACAATTCACAAAGGAAGAAGAAATTGAATAGCCAGAACAGGAGAGGAGAAACAATGATAACAATAATATATATGTATGGGTCAGGCTGCTAGTAGTGCTACTGTATGTTTTGTCCATGGTTAGGTGGGGGATTGGTCCATCGCATATCTATAAGCTCTGCAGACTGCAGTTACCTAGTATGTATATATGTATTTAGACAAAACTTTGGTTCATCAGTTTCTTCTTGGCAGGAAAGGTCCCCCAATAGCAACTGATATATACTTGTTTCATGTAATTGGATAACAGTTGGCTGTATCCTTGTTTGTATCAGAAGCTCCTGGCAATTTTCTACTTCTACCCTCGGGTTATAAACAGTTTTTTGGGCTCTTTTTCTACCATAGCTGTATTGTATTAGTCTTCAAATTACTGCTAAGTCTTTGAAGCAAATGGTTAGTTCGAAGAGTTTTCGGCAACGGGTTAGATGATTAGATCTCGATTTTGCTCAACTGACGATAACTGGTTTAGAGTAGCATCACACAGCAAGAGTTTAGCAGACTGATGACAAAAAAAATTCCTACAAATCCATTGATGATCTCTAGCATTCAAAGAATTCATGAGAAGATAGTTTGGACGACTAATCTGAGTACCCTACCAATCAGCTTGATCCTACAGGAACCATCTTCAGAATAGCAGCAATTGGCATGCCGAGGAACCCAAATGCTATGCTTACAAACCACTGCTGCCACGTGAGAGGAGTTGTGCTTGCAAATGTACCCAGGAACTCAATAATTATGATCTGGAAGATGGCAGTGCAACTCAACACAGCTACGAACACATAGTTCTTCAATATGCCGTCGAAGACATTCACTTTTTCCATCTCCCTTGAGCTGATCTCATTGAAAACCTACATAGGCAAAAAGGAAAGAAACATTAGATTGGTCTTTCAGTAACCCAAGATTTCCAGTTTATGTGGTCATTGAGTGTCTGTAATGGCATATTACCTGGCAAAAGACAAATGAGTTGAAAATGAGAGTGTTGAGTATCAAATCAGAATCTGGGCCGTCAAGTCGAAATGCTTCCTTTCCTTGTGTCTGAAGGTACCATATCACCACGAATTGATACAAAGATTGCCCCGTGATATTCCTCCACATTACATTACTGATGAAGTTGCCTTTCCTACCAACCGGAGCTCTCTTCATCAAATCATCAGTTGGAGGCTCTGTGGCTAAAGCCAGTGCTCCTAGAGTGTCCATGATCATATTGACCCACAGAAGCTGAACAGCTGTTAAAGGGGCATTTCCTGGAAGAGCAATCGGATCATATAACAGGCAATTGTCAAATAAGATTAAGCAAATTTTCAAATGTTGCAAAGAGGTGAAAACAAACACACACCAGTAAGGCAGGCTGAAGTGAAGTTGACAACAAGGGCAACTACATTAACAGTCAATTGAAATTGCACAAACTTCTGGATGTTCACATAAACCGAACGCCCCCATTTTCCCACTGTCACAATTGTTGAGAAGTTGTCATCCAAAATAATGACATCCGCACTCTCTTTAGCCACCTGCAGAGTGCAACTTGCAGAATGAGCAACCAGAAAAGTAAGTAGAGGTCAATCTACTAAAACAAAAGTAGATGTTGGCTTGAAACAGACCTCAGTTCCTGCGATACCCATAGCAAGCCCAATATCTGCCTCATGAAGTGCAGGAGCATCATTTGTACCATCACCAGTCACAGCGACAACCTCTTGAAACGTAGTTCTTAGTTGCTTCACAAGGGTATGCTTATCCATTGGTGAAGATCGAGCCATCACCTAAATATTGAGTGAGCATCAGTACATATCAAGTTAAACTAATTTGCCTATTTGAACGGCCTAAAAACTCAAGAAATTTAATTCTAGTTCCCTTTTTCATTATTGACATGAAAAAAAGTCCAAAAATGGAGTCTGTTTGGGCCATAATTTGAGATTAGAAATGTCATAAAACATGGTAGGAATCAGCTTGATAGAAATGGTCAAATGGAAGTACTGACCACTACAGATTTATTACTATTTTATCTTTTCACTTCCATCTTTCTCTCTTTCACATTTTCATTTTCCAAGACAGATAGAAACCTATTCAACTATTTTTTTTTTTAACATTAACAACACAATTTATTTCCCATATAGTGTCAGGAAATACCTTATGTGTCAGGAAAACTATGAATCAGTAAGGGAAAAAGATAATGCACCTGGAGGTTGGGAATAAGTTGCTGCAACTCGGCATCACTCTTCTCCCTGAACTCAGGACCTTCAATTGCTAGCCCATCGTCAGTCAGAATTCCACATTCTCTGGCAATGGCCTTGGCAGTTGTTAAGTTATCTCCAGTGACCATCCGAACAACAATTCCAGCAGACCTACAAACCGCAACAGATTCCTTGACACCAGGGCGGACTGGATCTTTGATACCGACAATAGCAATGCAAGTGTATCCTTGGAAAGGAATATCACCACTTTCTGAAAATTCACTTCCAATGTCAGAGTATGCAAGGCAAAGAGTTCGAAGGGCTTCACTAGCAAACTTCTCAATCGTGTCTTGGAGATGGGTGGTGGATGCCTCATCAAGTGGAACAACATCTCCATTAGAATTAAGAAACTTGTCACATGCAGCTAAAGCTATCTCCGAGGCACCTTTACAATGAGCACGGAAACCTCCTTCAGGAAGCTCTAGAACTACTCCCATTCGCTTTTTTGTAGAGTTGAAAGGCTCAACCTTTACAATCTTCGATTTCACTCTTTCTTCCTCAAAGTCTCCACCAAGCAAGAGACCCAATTCAAGAAGAGCAGTTTCAGTGGGAGTGCCTAGAATCTCTACTTTCTGAGCTTCGTTAACCACAACATCTCCTCCAGTGTTGTTGAATATCGACTCAAGTAGAATTTTCCTAACCGATTCAGGAATAGAAGACCCAAACTTCTCAGAACCGCTCACTTCCTTAATCTCCCCACAGATGCAAGTTTTGACAACAGTCATGTGGTTAGTTGTTAGAGTCCCGGTTTTATCACTGCAGATAGTAGTGGCGGAACCCATTGTTTCACAGGCAGCCAGATGTCGAACTAGCGCTTTATCATTCATCATCTTCTTCATAGCAAAAGCAAGACTCAAAGTTACAGCCAAAGGAAGTCCCTCGGGAACTGCAACCACAACAATGGTGACAGCAATGGCAAAGAACTCCAACATTTCCACAGCTTCATCTCCAGACCAAATCCATTGGGTTCCTTCCTCGAGCTTCCGAGTGAACAACCCTTGCACTAGGACAGAAAATGTCACAACAGCGAAGAACAAGCCGATTTTCCCAATGACCGTGGCAACTCCATTCAATTTGACCTGCAGTGGAGTCTCATCATCTCCTCCCTCACTAAGAGTAGCCATGAGCTTACCCCATTGTGTCCTCATTCCAACAGTTGTCACAAGCATCTTGCAAGAACCATTCTGAACTTTGGTCCCAGAAAGGAGAAATGGGTTTGAAGCATTGACATTAACTGGTTCACTCTCACCAGTCAAACTTGATTCGTTTATCAATAACGAGTAACCTGACATAAAAAGGCCATCAGCTGGGACCTGGTCACCAATAGAGAGATGAACAATGTCTCCTGGAAGAAGGTCATATATGGAAAGCTTCTGCCTCAAGCCATTTCTAGTAACCTGCATGACAATCTTCTTCTTCTCCTTGTCCAAATCTCTGAACTGCAGAGACTGCTTGTAATCACTGGTGGCAGTGACAAATACAACCAGAAGAATGCTGGCAACAATTCCTAGTCCATCATGGGCACCTTTAGGCCAGCCTTCCGTAACAATGCCGACAAGAAGCGAGACAAAAGCACAGATACCGAGTATCATAAGTGTTGTATCTTGTACTGCTTCCCACACAAAGAACCAAAACCCCTTAGGAGGGGTCTCGGTGAATCTGTTGACACCATATACTCGTTGCCTTCTATCGATTTCGGAAGTGGAAATGCCTTTGGTGATTGTTGTGCCCAACTTTTCTGCAATACCTTCCACCCCATCATGAATTTTTAGTTTCTTCACATCATGGCCTTCAACAATGGATCCTAGCTCTTCTGCACAAATCTGAAAGCCAGCTTCTTTTACATCCTGGGGTACAATGTAGTCACTGGACAAGCTTAAACCTGCAAGCATATATGATTAGAAGCCATTGACCCCCAAAACATGGAAGAACTTAAAAAACTTAAGAATTCAGAGGAATGTTAACAGGGTCTCACCCTGAATGAACTGAAGTGCAGCTTTTGAAACCAAAACTGCAACTCTCAGCTTCTCCTACAGTATTAACACAACAATGAAAGAGTCAGAAAACTGAAAAGTACAGAGATACACTTCGGCAGTTAGTTAGTTATAGACTTGCATTCTACAGCAGAGGGGAAATTGGAAGCCAATTCAGTCCAAACCCAACTGCCAACGTACAAGACCACCCTAGTTTATAACTCCCAAATGGTTGATCTTATCTTCTTTTCAGAACATGAAGAATCTCATTGGACCATTGAGATCTGATCACCTGATCTGGATGTAATCGCAGAGTAAAGGAAATTCGATCTCTATCCAAATCCCAACCAACTCCTAACAAGTTTCATCCAGAGTTTCGTCAAACACTTGTCAATGAGAGGGTGCGAAAAATTCGAAGTCAAAGTCTAGGTCTTCAATGCACTCACTAACTAGCATGTTCATAAAGATGGAAACTTGCTTGCGGATCAAAGCTGGGAAGTCTAAATTTCTATTCTGGTAACTTTTTCAGGAACTAAACAAACAGATCGAGAGAGAGAAAAAAAGGGAAGGGGAAGTAAAGAAGGGAAGACCTGATTAGATCGACGAATGGCCTCAGCCTCGAATCGCTTGGAGAGATTAGCAGTGAAACGGAACCGGCGCTTCTTATTCTTCACCAACCAACAAAGCTTCCTCCATCTCTGTAAAGCTTCCTCCGACGAGTTCTTCGCTTGCACTTCAAAATTCTCAGTAAAGTAGTTCTCCATCTCCAAATCCACAAAAGACCCACCAACTGTCTTCTTCTTCTTCTTCTTCTTCTTCAACTCAGATAGAAGGAATAACCTCAGAAGAAACCCTCCTTCGTGGTTTCGACCTAATTTACCAAAAGATCTAACAAACAGTCAAGTACCCTTTATTCCTTTGGCCCCAAAGAGACCATTGGCTCTGTACTCTCTACTACTTAAGAAACCCCCTCTGTAATGGAAATAAACTCCTAACTGTAGCAAGCAGAAGAAGTGGCAGGAAAATCCTGTCTTTCGTTTTGTTCTCGAAGCAAAACCAAAAAGATCAGAGAACCAATTGGAAGAGAGAGAGGAAGGTCAAACGCCTTTCAAGAGAGAGAGAGAAGAGGAGGGAAATTAATAAGAAAACAATGGAGAGCCGGGCGACTAGTAATTCCGGTGGCTGGTTGCCAAAAGGGGACAAAGGAAAGGAAGGAGAGAAGTTTCGTCTGACGACGGAAAACCGCGTGGCGCCTTCCTTTTGTTCAATTTTTATTTTTTTTTTTCAAATATTGTTCGGTCGTTTTGTAAATTGGCGGTTGGCTAATGGCTAATTGGATTTTTGCTTTCGACGCACGATCTTGATTCGAGGGGGCAGCCTGGATAAGAATAACGCGTTAACGATACGTGGCAGAACACGGAGACAGATGGGGACGTGGAGGGAGGGGGCCACCTGACGTGGCTTCCGCACTTCTGCATTAATTGCACATTTGCACATATAATTGTGGTGGTAGGGTTAAGAAGGTAATCAGATTCTTAAGCTTTCTTTTACTTGGTTCCATTAATTGGATTTAATAATGTTATCGATTCTGTAATTAATTAACTGATTTAATTTAACTGTGGAAAGAGGAATTATCGGTCTCTTCCCCCTCGTGGGCTACGCTGACATAATTTCATCAGGCCCAGAAGATAGTTGGGCTAAGCGTGTTCTACGGTTTCACGTGGCAAAGCTGTAGGAAAAACTCAAATCGTATTAACTTTGTCAAGGCTCAAGATAGGGTGCATAACCATACCAATCAATAACCAAATCTAAACCCTTCATTTAGAAAATTCATAGGATGGAGAATTACAAGTAATTTTTATTTTCCCTAACTTTCTTCATCGGCTCATATTTTTTTCGTTTTAACTCGGATTTTTTTTTTTGCACAGATGGAACGAGTTCATTGTGCTCTACAAAATGAGATCAATTTTCAATATTTTTTTAGAAAAAAAATTCTAGCCTCTCGGTACCAACTGCATAACATATGGTATCTTCTTCGTTTTTAATTCGTTTTTGAAAACGTTTGCACAGAAGGGACGAGTTCATCAGGGTGAACAAATTACATGACCAAAAATACCACACAATACCATACAATATCACCCTGCTATGGGGTGGTATCTTGTGGTACACAATGTTAAAAGTCGTAAATGATAGTTAATATACTTCTACTATCATGTATTCAACCATTCTACAGTCTTGGTTTGTTCATACCACCATGGTACGCTTCTCAAACCATAGGTATGCTCTTATTTCAATACTAGTCAAATACCATGTGGTAATCAACGATGTTCTGTTTATATCTAATCGCACCCCGTATTTGTGGGTTCTACCAAATAAATCTCTCGTTGAATAAAATTAGTAGGCGGAGCGGTATGAAACGATTGAATCGATATTAAATTACAGTTTCAACATAAATACTCTATCGTTGACTTTTTCAATACAACTTCCGGTAAGGTTTTTCTTTTTCACACCTTGGTTCGTACTGGCTTTAGCAAAACATGTAGGGATGTGGAAAATCGCTAACGCTGAATAAATTTACGAATATATATAATATAGTGGACTCATACCACTACAGCATCTGAACGGTCAAAAAATGTCACTTGTATTTTATTTTATTCAACATTTTGTTCTCGTCTTGAACTATATGAGTTTCATGACATTTGTGTCATGACTTCTTACGTTGACTGTTAGAGATAATTGTTTGACTGGACGGAGGTCAGTCATAGTTGATTTTCGCTGATGTGGCAGAATGTGACATCCACATAGATCCCACGTAATCGACATGTGATTATTTAAATCAAAATTAAGTTATATAATAAAGAAAATATAAAATTATTAGAAAATTAAAATTTCAAATTATTAAGTTAAAAAATAGTTTTCTAGGCTCTGCCTCCACCGACCCCGTCGAATCATGACCAGGGGAGAACGACCTGTCATCTCTTTGGATCACATACTCCGTCATCCAGCGGTAGAAATCCCAGTAAGCACCACCACAACAATTCTTGCCCTAGCTCGAGCAGCTTGACAGAGAATCCTCATGAAATCCCTAACCAGAACTAGGTAAACGCAGAGCTTCTTCACACGCGATATGAATCTGATGAGTACACCAAACTTGAGGGAAACAACAACAATCGAATGAGAATGATTTTGAAGCCAGAATCCGACGAGATTCTTAATTTCGGGGGTAGAAAGAGAAGATCATCAACCAGGGAGATTAAAATAGGTGACTACCACTAAAAATGAACGCCTTATTCGAATTCATTATATGCGAGCTCTGGTAAGTCGGCAGAGCCCAAGAAGAACCACTCGATATTCGTGACATCCTCATCCACCACGTTAGCAGTTAAGGCGGTGCTCGGACACTGTTGTCACCATCAATTTGGGGTGGAAGTCAACTATAAAAATGTCGTGAAGAATGAAATATGCATATGATAGATGTGTGATAGTCTATTTGTATGAATCCCTTGATAAGAATATCTATATTAATTTTCTTGAAGGTTTAGTTTGCTAGAAGCAAAGATGTGACATTCTCGAGAAAAAATGGATGAATGTGGTATATTCATCTAGTGAATTTTTGTTAAAAGAAGTGATTGAACGGGCCTTTAGTGGTTAAATCTAGATAAAGTGCTTTCGAGTATTTAGAATTGACATGTGTGATTGTACAATGACATATAGGCTTGTTTGTGTGATATTATGGTTTTAGTTTATGTATGAGTTATGATTTATGAGTGTACTTTGGTTAATTGATATTGTACATATGGCTTTGACTTGTGATTTTGTGGTATGAAGTAATTGCTTGCATACAATTATGTTAGCCGATTTTTATAGTTATTTAAAAGAAAAGAGTCAATACATTATTTCATAATGGTCTCATATTATCTCAATGATAAAACTAATATTGAAACTCCAGAAGAACTTCCTAAAGCAATAAATTGCATTAAGAAGATCCTTTTGTGGACGAGGAATGTAATATAAAAAGGTGAATGAGCAATTTTGTATGAAAAATGACATACATTCAATAGCCTAATGATCATAAGCTCACCGAAAGTGAACAAAGATCTATTTAGGTCGTGAGATAGAAGTGAATTATGAGGTCCTGAACTGTCGTATATTGATGTCGTTAGAGTGCAAATATATCTTGCTAGCCATACATCATCTAACATATCATTCGTTGTTAATATATTAGCACGAAATATGTTTCTCTCAGTAGATAACATTAGAATTGATTTTATACTACGGTACCTTTAGGTAGTGATGAGGATCAAAGATGAGTTTTGTTTACTTATGGTCGTACAACTATCTCATGGAGATTCCAAACAAATCACAATAATTGCATCATCTGCTCATGCACAATAGTTAGAAATTCATGAGGCATGTTATGAATCGTTTGGTTCAGATTTGTGATTCAACACTTTTAAATGACTTGTGATTGTGGACTCTCTTGAGAGAAAATGATCCTGATGATCATGTTTGAATAAAATGGTCATGATTATCATGCATCAAGTGGCAATCTTAAAGATTTGTTCACTAAGAGCTCACTATGATAACATTTGGAAATTTTATTCACAAAACTACACTTCGACTAGTCATAGATCTGAACTAATCTTGTCATGAAGGGGCATAAACGCAAAAACTCTTTTCCCTTTACCATGATTTATCATGTTGGGTTTCCTGATAAGTTTTTTAATGAAACATTTTCGGATAGCATATTATGATGATTAGGCACTCTTTTTACTTCACTGTAATTTTGTCCCATAATGTTTTAATGAGGCATATTCTCAATTAATGGACATTCAAAGTAGTGTTTATGAAACAATGAAGTATTGTGAATGCCCATTGGATTCTACATTGGATGTCATATTGAATGCTATATTAGGAGCTATTTACCTCCCTATATTGATAGTGAAAATGAATGTCTCAACACCTCACATTCATGTGCATGATAGAGGAAATTGTAAGAGTTATGTATATGTGCATATAAATAGAGCACCTCATTGTATAAATGAATTGGATGAATAAGAAAAACACTTCTTTCATATTCTTTTGTGTATTATCTCTATCCTTGCTTTTGTACTTGTTCCTCTTACCTATCATTTTATAACATATTTATAAGGATTTTGATTTACAAAAAAATTTGATTTTGATTTTTGGTACTAAAATAAAGTTGGATGTGGCCCAATACAACCTTGAAGGTGGGCTGGCATTCCAGACATAATTGACATTATCAACTGATTTGAAATACAGGCCCATAGTGACTGACCTGGAATACCAGCCCACCATGAATGATGACGATGGCACTCAAGCCCGATAACAAAAGCTAACAGAAGGTCCAAACGTGCCTCTGCCAATCCACCGAAAATTGGTAGCAAGCAACGTTGAACTGCTTTTTATCATGAAAGCTAAACTGTGCCCAAGTCAAGACCCTCAGTATCTACGCATCAGACAATTAAAGTTAATAATGGAGATTAAGGCCCGCCACAGGTAGGGTTTTGTTCTATTCTATCATCACAGTTCTCCCATATTGTGGGTAAAAGCAGTAATGATGAAATCTAAAAGGTATCTTAAAGTTAAGTGGAGTACTAGTGGTGACATTACATATTGTAAAACAGGATAACGATCGAGGGGCCATTGCTAATGGATAATGGAATTGTCCCTTCATGAGAAATTAATAAGCAAAGAAACGCCACTGAGGTTCAGTTTTCAGTTTAGACTTTAGATCATACTTCATATACATTATATACCATATACGATCGAAAGTAATTCATATGTGCTTAAAATTTGCACAGACACCATGCGCTTACTTACTAGTGGAGGTTACCAACCAAACACCTCTCGATAACAGAAGACTATGGTATCCATGTCATAATCCAGCTGGTCCCCAACGATCCGAGTTATTGGGACCAACTTGTTTATGATACGGTATCGGAACTGGTTTAGCAAAGTGGTCGTGTGTTTGAAACTCTAAGACCTCCAATACTAACAGTCGATTTAAGCACATGGTATGATAGATCTATGCAAACCTTAAGTCCGCGAGTTGACTTTCATTTGAGAGAGCATATAAAAAAGTGTATAAGATCTATAATTAACGATCTCCCAACCACTCGAGTCATTTACGGAACCATCCATTGCGATTCTGTCTTCACAGCACTAATATTAATAATAGTGATTTTGTAAATTATAATACAAAACC